CCTAAACCCTAAACCCTTAGGGTCCCGAAAGCTTCTGGCCAGGCCTGAGATCTGCTATCCGGTGCGGCAGGGCCGCACGGTGCGACAGGGGAGAGAGGGTTTCTTTAGGGCCTTTAGGGTTCAGGGTTTATGTCAGAAGAATAAGGCAATTTCCTAAAACCTGCACCTTGAAAGCCCTAAACCCGAAACCGTACTCTTGCAGGCGCGACGGCGGGTCTTCCTTTGTGTGAACCTCTGGGCTGCGCTGCTACCGGATGCCCAGGCTTGTGGATGTAGAGTATCACGGCTCCTTCAGCCCTATAAAGTTTGTACATTGGGTTTTGGGCTTTGGGGGTTTCAGGCTTTAGTAAACCCGAAGCCCTAAACCCTCAACCCTAAATTAGGGTTTAGAGTTTCGGGTTTGGGGCGCCCTTAGCCCTGTAATGTTCATGCCTTGCGTTAAGGCCTTATAGGGCTGAAATCCGCACATTCCGGGCCGGCTTCTCCGTGGTCTAGAGAACAGACATGGGGGTTCCGAAAATTTGGAGTACCTTATTTTGGGGTCCTTATAATAAGGTTCCTATTATTTAGGGTACTATATTAGGGTCCCCTATTTTCGGAAACTCCCAAATCAGTAAACTCGGCTTTGGAGTACCATACTTTAATACTTTTTTTGGGGGGACCTGTTCCTTAAAGGACAAAGCCCAGTAAAGTTCCCCTCTCCCCACCCTATTAGAAACCCTAGACCATGAATCCTGCCCCCCGCCGCCCACGACACTGTCTCCGTGGAGGAGCTTCTTAGCGGCTCCGATCGGGCGGTGGAGTACGTTGACGAGGCGCCCGTTTTGTGGTCTTAGGTTCAGGGCTTAGGGTTCCCTATATGGCTACCCAGTGCCTAGAAAGCCTAGTGGCATAAAGTAGCCGTTATCTTGGGCAACTAGGGCCTAGTTGCCCAAAATCATGGGCTGCTTCAAGCCAAAGGAGTTTGAAGTTAGGGGACCGTAGGCTCTAATTATTCTCTAGTGGCCTTCTAGGTACCAAACCAGGAACCTAAACCATAAACCGCGTAGCCTGCTAGAGATCCTATCGTCTTCATGCCCAGATCATAGATTTAAACCCTAAACCCTAAACCCTAAACCCTAAACCCTAAACCCTAAACCGGATCATAGATTTGGGTTTGCAGGGTTCAGGGTTTCACACATGGGATTTCGGGGCTTTCGGGCGTAATCAGGGTATGGCGACTTTGGGACTTAGGATTCTTAGGGTTTAGGGTTTAGTGTATTAGGGTTTAGGGTTTAGGGTTTAGGGTTGAGGGCTTGAGGGTTTAAGAGCCTGGGGTAGCCTGTTTGGAGTGCTGCAAGGACAGGCTCGAATCCTTTGCAGTTCCGGGTGAAGGGTTTTTTGATAGAGACCCATAGGCCCCATAGTAGTTCCTTTTTGGGATTACCTTATAGGATTCTAAATATGAACCCCAAAAAGGAACTACTATTGGGCCTATGGGGAAGCCGAAACAGTTTTTGAAACGATCTTCGTTCAGGGATTTCGGAGTTTTGGAGTTGGGGGAAGCTGCGTTCCGATCCGCTGGACCTAAAACCCGGTGAGCTTACGGATAGGGGTTCAGGTTTACGCATGTGGATTTGGGTTTAGGGTTTAGGCTTTAGGGGTTTAGGGTGTAGGCTTTTAGGGTGGTTGTTTGGGATCTCTTGTTGATTTCCCATATGGTCTTCCACACCCAAACCCCTGCGCCCCTATCTCTGGGAACTCGAACCCCTTTTTTTCAGAGTTCTGTAATACAGGGGCCGAAATAAAAACTAATACTATTTTGGGAGGCTCCTCAATATAACTATAGTATAATGGGCCCCAAAACCCTATCCTAATGATCAAGGCCCCTGCATTACTGGGGTTGTGTCAGGGTGTTGTATGATCATCCTTCTTGTACGCACCAGAGAAGGGGTGTCTGGAGTTCTTTAAGAGGTTCCTGCGATGCCTAAACCCTACACCATAAACCCTAAACCCTAGGCTGTACATAGCCCTGTGGGCTGAAGGCTCCCATAGACCCAGAACAGATTTCGAGTCACCTATGCGCAGGAGTTTGGGCCGGAACGTGTAGGGCGTAGCGTACCAAAACCGCAGACCCTAAGAACATGTCTTTGGAGTATGAGTGCCATACTGACTCCAGTATGCGGGTCGGAATAATTGATTAGGTATCCCCTTGTAGCCCTTCTATAACTACACCACAATATCCACCAGAACCTTTTGCGCACTAGCACGGCCCCTAGATTAGAGTAGAGCTGTTCCGCTTCCTTGTGACATCTAGCACCGACCCTCTATGCCGGTCCGCCCGAGGTTGCCGAGAATGCCCGCCAGCAAACCCTGGCAGAACTAAATCTCGAGGAGATCGATCAGGAGCCAATCAGCTAGGGTTTAGGGTTTAGGGTTTAGGGTTTAGGGTTTAGGGTTTAGAGTCTGTGAAATTCGAGTAGAGTCCGAGTCTGAACCCCTAAACCCCAAACCCCTAAACCTTAAACCCCTAAAACCCAAAACTCTAAACCCCTAAACCCTAAAACTCCAAAACCTCAAGCGCTTAGGGTTCGGGATTCGAATCGGGTGTCTTCTCCGGCAACTATGTTACAGCCCGGTTGTTGATGCATAACGTAGACTCTGGTTTCATAATCTCCTCCCCCTTAACAATAGGTATCTCGTAATAGGGATCCGCATATCCGGGAAGCAGATCTCCAATCTTTTTAGCCTTGGGCCCAGATCCTAGAAACACTGCAACACGGTGGTTCCAATGACCAGGAATTGTATATAAGGGATGTTGTAAGGATGGGGCCAGAGTTCGCCATTATAATACAGGGCCACAGGGCACGACTCCTAAACATGAACACGTAAAGGACCTCAAACTATAGGGGTTTATTGGGGCTTATTGTTACGTTAAGACTGTTTTCTCGCCATATGTCGGTCGTGCTGCAGGACGAGTTGCCTGAGCCTGAACCTCACGAGTGCGCCCAATGTCGGGGTGTAGAACGCTTTCGGTTTTTCGGGTTCAGGGAGTACAGGGTAAAAAGCCCTAAGCCCTGTAAGCCCTAAACCCTAAACCCTAGGTTTCAGGTTTGGGTTGAAAATTTGCGAGCAGCAACATTGTTTCAGAGTTGGGTTGCGCGCTTGGGATCCTGGTACTTGCTTCTTGCGGCTGGAGGAATCGGCAGGGTATGATAGCCCGTTTTGGCAGAATCTGTCTTGCCCGACCAGGTGCTTAAACCTAAACCCTAAACCGTACCCATGGGATTCAGTAGCATCGAGAGCAATCGCGCAGCCCTTGCCAATGTTTCTCAACTTGTGACTGCTAAACCCTAAGCCCGAAACCCGAAACCCTAAACCCTATACCCTAAAACCTAAACCCTAAACCCTAAACCCTAAACCCTAAAACCTAAAACTAAACCCTAAACTAAACCCTAAGAGGGAGGAGCAGGCTCACCCCGACAGGTACTGTCCCCCACTGAATTCGGTTCATCTCGCCCTGTCGCTGAGTCGGGAGCCCCAACCAAGAAGTTCGAGTCTCAATTGGGGCTTAGGCTTCAGGGTTTAGGGCTTTAGGGGTCTATAGTTCCGGGTTTAGGGTTCGGGGGATCACAGATTTTGAGGCTCAGAATGGTGAAGGCTCTGCAGGTTCTGACCCAAGGTGGTTGGGCTTCGCTTAGGACAACAGCGGAATGGGGCTCGATTTCCTTAAAGCCCCAAACCGTGAATCTAACTGGATAAATCACAGATATTGTGCTGTAATCCTTACGACGAATTCATTGCACAAGCCTTTGAAACACTGATAATACTCCTCGAAAGACCCACGAAAGGCTAAAGCGGCTTGTATAAACCCTTCTAGAAGCCTCTAACATCCCGCGGAGTTCTTTGGGGTTTCAGACTTTAGGCTACAAGAGCTTGAGATGGTAGCCTCCAGCTTTTGGGTGAAGGGGACGGAGGGAGGGTGAAGGGGGAGGGGGCGGCGGGGGCGGCGGTTGCTGCGAAGGTTGGGGCTGGGGAGCCAAACCTTAAACCCTAAACCCTAAACCGTGCGGTTGCTGCGAAGGTTCGGGCTAGGGAGCCACTTGCTGGTTCTTGGTCGCGACTTGCGGCCAGAAGGTCGTACTGCACCTCGAACCCTTCAATCCCAAAGGGTCCGAAGTACCTATATAGTAGAATGTAGGGTTTCTATATTAGGAATTGTTATTATGATTTAAGGAAGTATCCCCCATTACAGTACCTAGGACCCTTTGGGAATTGCAAGCTGGCTACCACGTAAGGACAAGATCGGAAGCCCAACACCAAGGCTCTTTGACCAAAAGCCCGGCAACCCCTCAACCCGCCACACACACTCACCCTTCCCCTAAACCCTAAACCCTAAACCCTAAAACCTAAAACCTAAAACCTAAACCCTAAACTCTAAATCCTAAGCCCTTCCGCTTCAAAACAGCGACAACTTCTCAAGCATGCAGAGAGCTGAATAGAGATCTACTTCTGTTCATTAGCGTAGGATCCAGGGTACAATCTACATTACCCAGAGGGTCCGAGTACCCAAATAGTAAGGTTTTAGGTCCCAGAATCCATACTCTGAGTGGTTTTTGGACCCTGAAACCCTCGTATTTGGGCACTTGGACCCTTAGGGTGATAAACTCCATAGTATATAACTGGTTAAGCCAAAAAAGGAGCTACAATGGAGACTATATAGGTAGGATCCATGGTACAACCTACATATCAGCAGAGTCAAGACTCGGGGATGGCTCGAGGTCATGCCCTGGCGGCCAAGGCTGTTGATTTTCATGGGCTGAGCCGCGGAATTCGTCAGGGTTTATGTTCTCACGTTTGGGGTCGAGTAAAAGTTCGATTTAGGAATTGGGGTTTGCCGGGTTTGCAGTAGCCGCGGAATTGATCAGGGTTTATGTTATCACGTTTGGGGCCTAGTAAGTGTTCGATTTTGGATTTGGGGTTTGCCGGCTTTGCAGTTGACTGTTTGTCGCTTGCAAAGGCGGGGGTTTGCGACGACAGTTTGCCGGCGGAGATGCTTGCATTGGGCTTTCCCGTTGGTTGAAGGACTTAAGACATCACGTGGACGGCAGACTGTCTAAACTCTTCTGATCCCGAAACTAAATGAAAAGCAAACCTAAACCCTAAACCCTAAACTGTAAGTAAAACCCTAAACCCTAAGTAAAGCCTAAGCCCTAATCCCTTTTCCTGATTTTCAGAAAAGCAAAGTCCACACTGTCAGCCTGGTCCACAAGTTGAGCCTGAAAGTTCCGGCATGTACCTGTAGTCTCCATTGTAGTTCCTTTTTGGGGATACCTTACCCAGAGGGTCCGAGTACCCAAATAGTAAGGTTTTAGGTCCCAAAATCCATACTCTGAGTGGTTTTTGGACCCTGAAACCCTAGTATTTGGGCACTTGGACCCTTAGGGTGATAAACTCCATAGTATATAACTGGTTAAGCCAAAAAAAGGAGCTACAATGGAGACTATATAGGTAGACCCCTGATTGCCAACCTCCTGTCTCTGAGATCTCCATGTTGGTGAAAAGCGGACATCGTCGTGCAAGGGCTCAAAATTGTGAGTTCCAGGGCTGCGCGCACCCTTCGCGTAAGGACCTTTTCCTCACCGCCTTTCTCGTTGCAATCAAAGCCATGGCGGAGAGCTTCGAAAGCCTCGTCCGCCAGGCGCTGCAGCTGCACCCGACCGACCCTGACTTCCCCGACGGCTGCCCGAAGCGCCCGCCGAGCGATGTCGCGGCCGCGAAGGAGAAGTACCAGCAGGCCATGGGAATCTACTTCGACAACCTCAGCGTCAGCCAGGTGGACTATGAGCTGCTGAAGTCTGCTACAGCGCCTATGTGGTGTGTTTGGTGATTCAGGAGAACTGGGACGAGGTCATCAAGGTCACCAGCCGTGCCGAGGACGACTGCCCTGTGGGGAAGCCCTGGTTCCTCGCTGGCATGAAGGTGGCGAAGAAGGGAGCTCAGATGCAGAAAGCCTCGGAGGCGCTGATCAGCGGAAATACCTCGGAGGCCAGCGAGCTCCTCAAGCAAGCTCGCGAGAATCTCAACGCGCAGGCCATGTACGCAAAACCCTTAACCCTAAACCCAAAACCCTGAACCCTAAACCCTAAACCCTTAACCCTAAACCCTATAAACCCTAAACCAGGCCATGTACGCAGAGCAGTTCTACGGGGACCTCTACGACGATGCGCAGGAGGGGCTTGCCTCTCTGGAGGCCCAGCTCAAGGCTAAGGCCGCCACGTGAAGAGGATTCTGAGCTCTGAAAGAGCCTGACTGGGTTCTTGTCAAGGGACCATAAGAAGGAAACCATCTTATTTTACAAAAAAAGATCCCTATATCATGGTAAATTGTGGTATAACTTAAAGATTAGATCCCTTTAAATCCTTCAACACTAACAAGAACCCAGGTGACGGGATCACTTGATCCGCACCGGCTGTTAGGGCTGCCTAAATGCTCCCCCAGGGCCCGAGCGAGAGCAGCCTTGTGATTGAGTGAGCTGAGAAGCGCGTGTGAGAGTTTAATCTGGAATCTAGGGGCCCTAAAAATTAGAGTAGGGTTTTGGGGCCCATTATGCTACAATTATGAGAAGGAACCCCCAACATAGTATTGGTGATTATTTGGGCCCCTACATTAGGGTTTAGGGTTTAGGGTTTCTGCTTGTATGGACTTTGAGCACTATGCCCTAGACACTGCTGCCGAGCCCACCAAGACCGGAACTGTTAGAGTAGTTTGTCACTATAGTTGCTTTGGTTGCGGGGTTATACAGGCCTGACAGGAGGTTATGAGTAATAATTCGATAATTGCAGTGGCCTTTATTTCGGGGTTTCATGATTCGTAAGAGATGATCCAGCTTGGCCGTGTATCCCGTAAAGGCCCAGTTAGGCCCAAATACCTCAGGTGGTACGGCTTTCAAGATTAAGGGCCTTCAGGATCGGGTCCTTTGACTTGTAGGGCATACTCCCAGAACTATTCAGGGTCCAGTTGAGAAGTGAAGGTATCATCTTTGGGGTTTAGGGTTTAGGGTTTAGGTTTTAGGGTTTAGGGTTTAGGGTTTAGGGTTTAGGGTTTAGGGTTTAGGGTTAAGGGAAAAAGCTAATCTCCGTCAGCTCGACCTGAGCATGCCCATACCTCTCAGGAAAGCGCCAAGAGCAGAAGAAACGACCCCAAACCCTGCACTCAAGCCGCGAATCTCTTAAAGCCCTCGAAACCCTAAGCCAAAAAGACCCAGACCTTAAACCCTAAACCCCCTAAACCCTAAGTACACCCTAAACCATAAAGTGTAAGCGAAACCCTAAACCCTGAGTAAAACCTAAACCCTAAACCCTAAGTAAAACCTAAACCCTAAACCCTAAGTAAAACCTAAACCCTAAACCCTAAGCAAAACCTAAACCCTAAACCCTAAGTTTTAAAACCTAAACCCTAAACCCAAAGTAAACCCTAAGCCCTAAACCCTAAGTTTTAAAACCTAAACCCTAAACCCAAAGTAAAAAACCTGAATCCCTAAACCCTAAACCCCTAAACCCTAAACCCCAAAACTGAATCCTAAGAGCCCCGAGCCGCATCTTCGACTTCCTAGTGCAGGTGGGCCACGGAAGCCTCGAGGATGGGGAGGACTTCGTGGGAACGTTGAGTTCTCTGAGGCGCCTCTCATCTGTGTTTCGGGTTTCGGGGTTTAGGATTTTAGGGGTTTAAGGATTTAGGGGTTTAGGGATTTGGAGTTTAGGATTTTAGGGTTTAGGGTTTGGGGTTTAGGGGGTTTGAGGGGTTTAGAGCTCTGGGTCTAGGGTTTAGGGTGTTTAGAGTCCTTGGTTCGGTTTAAGGAGGTTTGAGAGGTTTAGAGCTCAGGGTTTAGGGTTTGGGGTTTGGGGCTTTGGGTTTAGAGCCCGGGGTGCGGTTTTGGGTTTGAGGTGTAGGGCTTCGGGTTTAGAGCTCAAGGCTTCGAGTTTGGGATTCAGGGCTGAGGGTTTGAGGGTTTGAGGTTTCGGGCGTTGGGTTTTAGAGCGCAGGGCTTAGAGTTTGGGGTTTAGGGCTTAATATAGGGGCCTTCGGAGTGAGACTAGGGTTTTGGTGATATTATAGTACAACTATACTAAGGAACCCAAAAAAAAACATTCAAATTACCAAGGCCCCTACATTAGGGTTCTAGGTCTGGTTTAGAGTTTGGCTTTGGCGGGGATTTACGTTGAGTTGTTCCGGCCCCGGATTCGGTGTCTAGGGGTCCACATCCCCAATTCTTCGAAGTGCTCCCTAGAGTTTCCCCAAACATCGCCGGTACTCTCCCGCTTGAACCACCCCCGCTACAGGATACTAGAATAGAACAGCCCTTTTTGAAAGATTGTCGTGGGCCACCAAAAGCTGTTTGAACAAAAGCCGAAACCCTAAACCCGTTGCAACTCCCTTAGCACGTGAAGCTGGGCTCCGCGCCATGTTTGCAAGGAATCCGGTCAAGAAGGTGTAGCTTGCAGTCTCGGACGCTGGAGTCGCGAGTTTAGGGTCGAGAGTTTAGGATGTTGGGTTCAAGTCTAGGTTTAAGGGCTCAGAACCCTAAACCCTAAACCCTAAACCCCAAAACCCTAAACCCCAAAACCCTAAACCCCTAAACCCTAAACCGTTGATCGGCTGTCGTAGCCTCGGGGGGGTGCAGCTGGTTGAGATAGTTGGATTTGTCTTGTCCGGGATGGCCCGTGCTCTCGTCAACCATGGCTGAAAGCCAGATGCTGTAGCCACGTGCGGCGTCCTCCGTACGATGTAACGATTTGGGGGTTCGACATCATATGGGTAGTTCTCTAAAATAGAGTCCCTTTTTGGGTCCCCAAAATAGTACGGCACCCTTATAATATGGACCCCAAAAGGGACCCTAATTTAGAAAACTACCCATATGCACGGCTGGATAATGCAGTGAATATCATTGCTCGTTTCGGACTCCTCCTCGAAGTTGCTGTATGATATGCCGCCCAAACCCTAGTCTAACTCGTCAGGCCCTGAACATACTAGGTCAGGGCGTCGGATCTCGGATTCGGAGGATGATGAGAATCAGCCCTAAACCCTAGACCTTAAACC